CAAATGGGGGTTGGTAAGGACTAAGTTACGTAACATTAATTTCATGCAGCTTTTTAAATGTTCATACAGTAACTAAACTAGCGTTTGACCACGATAAGTTGTGGATGTGGATGCAAGATGGGTCGCAATAGTTTAGAAAAAGACTATTTTTAAAGGCACCTATGTCAATTTATTTCTGAAGGTCATTCAAATGTCAAAAAATATTATTTTATATTAATGAAAAGTGAGTTTTCAATATTCCTTAGTAGGATTGAAAGATTAAATGGAGTCATTATTCTAAGAAGAATAAAAAAAATATAAAATTAATGCATTTGCCGCTGATGTACGCGGGGCGACATCACCGGAGTCAAACATCGACTTTATTTGTACAAAACAGCTCGCCGGAATGTACACGCGGCCTTTGTTTTCCAAGTGGCTGCTTCCACTTAGCCACAGTACCGAGAAGCGAGCGTTTTGTAAACACCCCCTATTCTCGACTACTTGCTTGTATCGATTCGTATCGAGAGCTAGTTAATTTGCTTTTAATACGTTTTTGATTTCTTTGGTACTTAATATTAGCAGTGTATTACGTCATAGTGATTTGGGGAAATGTCAAGGAAAGTAATTGTTAAAAAGTGTAATATTTTTGGATATTACATCTTTTACTGTAAAGTTTTTCGATAAGCATTTTCTTTTGCGCATAAATTTTATAATAAATCTAACGGTATCCATTAAAAAAAAAATTCCAATCACGATAACCTTGGCGAGGTATACCAAAAACATGTTAACATACAATTAGCAAAGTTTCTGTATAAACCAAACTAATTATAAATGGATTACGTAGCGAGCAGGAAAATAGGTATATGTTATAAACGTATTACTACGTCAGCACAAACTCTTGGTAACGTATTCAGTATGACGCATACAGAAACGCCCGATTTCTTGTATTGCGGAACTCTTATAAGAAGTGGGGATCTACGAGCTTGTTTGTGTTATATCGGAAATGACAATTTCACAGTAACATAACTTAAACTCCTTAAAGCAAGCCTATTTGTTTTTTTAATGTTATTATCGTATACGTCATAAGTGATATTTGAATAGTATTGTTAGTATGCAGAGGAAGATATGAAACGGCGTTATCTGTTTTTAGAATTACAATATAAATATATAGTAAACAGATAAAATTATTATTTAAGGAATATATTAAGGAATGTGTTTTTCTTACTGAAGTTATTAGTACAAGGTTTTGTGTAAATTCTTCAAATGTTGAAATGATAAATGTAAATCTTCACAAAAGTCATGCATTTATTACATAAGAACCGAAATTACTATAAGATAGCTACACTCAATAACATCTCAGCATTAACATTGTAGTGTAATTTTGTCATGTTTAGACTAATTTGTTAAAAAAATGTCATGATACTTTACTTCAAATATTTAGCCGAAAATATGTGTAGATCGAGCTCATATCGAAAGCGATAAGAGCGCAAAAACGACACACTTCGCCGAACGACGCGCGTGCCCGTGACTGATTAAATCTCGGCGACTAAACATCGAGATAAAAATTCGGCTAGACCTTATAGGGACAGGTTATTTTATATACGACTTAGAGTAGGTTGTTGCCTTTAACTTTGTTGTATTTAAATTAAGTAAGCATAAATAGAAATTGAATCGAATTAAAACATAGCTAGGAACCGTTTGCAGCTATGCCCAAATAGATAAAATTAGAAAACTCATGATGGACATAAGCACTTAGGTGTATACGAAAAAATAAATTCTTCTAGGCTATATACATAAATAAAACTAAATTTATGGTTCCCAATTACAGTGGACTGTATACAGTTACGGCCGCACCAAGACGTTTCGAATCGCATTTAATCCCACGTTATGGGGTTCATCCTATTTGTAATTCCTCGGGAGCCAGACCGGAGGTCAAATGACCCATAACTATGATTCCAAGCCGCTCAGTAAGTGTGTGCATTTACATTTTTCTACGAAAACGAATCTATTACGCCTTCCTTTTTGTAAACGGGGGCGGTACTGCTTTACAATTCATGTAATGTACACTATTAAGACACGGTCGACAAAAAATCACAATGTAGAGTTAAATACGTGTTAAGAAAAGACCGCGCACTATTCTTTTATCACAAAGATGTTGCGCATATCAAGTGCTTCATATATCTCACTAATATTATAAATATGAATGTTTGGATGGATGTTTATTACAAGGTATCTCCAGAACGGCTGCACAGATCTCGATGAAATTAAGCATAGATGTAAAACATAGTCTGGAAGTACACATCTGTATTGTTAGTGTTGATAATGACTGGAACTAAATTACTAATTTTATGATATCTTTTTATTCTATATTATGTATTTGCTTAATAAACTTGTCAGTTATTCGAATAGTTATTGATTTTGTTTAAACGTTCGATTTAAAAACATACGAATTCTTAACTATTCCCGTATAATGTTCGATAAACAGAGAAAAACAATTTGTCGTTTGTACCATTTCGAAATGATAATGTTGATTATAGGAATTTTATCAGAGTTGCGTCGGGACGTCCATGTTCCTGTCCTAATAGATAAGCTGAACTAAAATAACCCGAGTTCTTTAAACTAGACCAACAATAGAACACACAACTGGGTCAACTAATGTTCTTGCAGGCAGTGTCATATTTAGTTTACAAATAATTAATTAAATAAAATAAAAAAAACATAACTGTTAACATAAAAAAAAATTGTGACCAAATGAAAAAGAAAAAAATTAAGTCTAACAAAGTGCTTTCCAATCCTAGTAATATAAATGCATGTTTGGATGGATGGATGGATGTTTGTTTCTATCTATGTGATGTAAATATTAGTAAGATATAACAAATCCATTATCATATAAAGACTTAACAATAAATAAAATCTTTCAAGTCAGTCAAGTGCGTAAAGAAATACGTCTATAAAATAAACAAATCAATCGATCAGTCAGTACTATGAGTTAACATATTATTTATCGATGTACAGCTGTAAATAACAAAGACCTGACTTTGGGGGATATACCAGATCGGGAAAGTTAACTTAATTAAATAAAGTTCACTAATTGAAGAATTGTAGTAGCTAAGTATTCACCAGTAAATTTTGAAATTACAAAAAAAAGGGTCGTAACAGACGAACGGACAAACAAAATGATCCTATAAAGTTTCCGTTTTTTTTCCTTTCGAGGTACGGAACTTTAAAAATAGTCGGGTTCAGTAATTACTTTTTACAAATCGTACGAAAAATGGAGTAAGACACAAAATAGTAAAAATATAATAAAAGAATCATTGACTTGTTTGAAAAAACGACAAGATATGTCCATTATTGATACTACGTCAAGTTATTTGTATGGATGATAAAGAAAATTAAATACCAAATAAAGGTTCCGAGATAAACGTAATTTATAACCCGGTTATCATTTAAGTAACGTACCACAGCCATCGTAGATTTTATTATTATAATAAAGCTGAAAATCTGAGCGTCGGTGGCTCAGGAGTCAAGCACTTGACTTGCAATCTGCAGGTCCTTGGTTCGGATCCCGTCACGTACCAATTTGTTTTTCCAATTTCCGATTTACATATGTACATTTATCCGACGTTCTTACGTTGAAGGAAAACATCGGGACGCAATTTGCACATAACTGAGAAGAAATTCAAAGATATGTGTGAAGTCAACAAACCCGCAGTTGGCCAGCGTGGTTGTCTATGGCCTAGTCATCCCTAACTTAGGGTGGGCTCCGAGCCCCTCGGTGGGAACATATAGTGAGCTGATGATGAAAGCTGAAAAGATTGTGTAGCCTCAGAATGATTTACTGTTTGGATAGTCAATCCAAATTTTATAATTACGAATCTAATCCAAATATAACACCTTATTTTACTTCCGACCTTTTTAGTATTCATACAATAAAATTAATTACCATAATACGGTATAAAAAAAAAGCTTAAACGATTTACGTAATGGTAGATTATTTTTTCCAACCCCACGTCAAAGCCCCTCGGGCGATAACAGTTTTAATCTTGGAACATATGGCGTTTGAAAAAAAAAACAGGTAGAAAACATGAGCGCTAATGTGTGAAACTGACATTAGAAAAAAACAACTAACATGTGGCATTAAGGTTCTGGGGACAAAGGTTTCTTTGCTTTGAAGCTTACTTTCTGTACCACGACCTCGCCAACAAAGTATTTTATTTCGTTTGTTATTTTGTTGATAATCTATAAGGCATTCGAATCTGATATAAAAGAAAAAGTAGACAAGAATTTTGATAATTTTATAGTAATTTTAGTATCATTACGTAATTGTCAGATCAAAATATAGTCCCATAAAAAACCATCTATTAATAAAACAGATCTGTTTATGAAATTTCCAACTTAATATTTCTAATATCTTTGAACAATATCAGTCTATTAATTTATAGAAATTAAATTTAATATCGTCTTCACATAATAAGCTTATGCCTTTGAAACTATATAATTAAGCTTCGTAGAATGCCTCTATTGCTTTCGAAACAATCTAGGATTAATAAAGTACAAGTTTAAAGTGGACAGAACTTGTAATAATAGCCTACAAAATTTATTATCAGTCTGGTAAATTGTCAACTGCCTTTACTTTGAAAGTAGAGTTATTAATTTAGAACATTCATTACTATCTCAATGAACTATTCAAATTAAATTGAGAGAGGATTGGATACGCTTAGAAATCATCATGGCGTACTCAAACCAAGTCGTACCGTAGTTTTAAGCCTCATAGTTAAAAAACTTTGTTTGTATGTCTTTTTACATCAAATTATGGGGAAAACGATACCAAATACTCGAACACACGTTTTTACTCCGTACGAGATTATTTTTATACGAAGTTGTGTAAAAATCCTCAAGGTTTAGACATTAATCATTCTTACACATTACATAAATTTTGACTCATGTTCAAGGAACCAAAACTGCAAACGACAGAACATACGACATTAATTTCAAAATATTCTAATTTTTCAAAGACTTACCTTGTATTTTGTAGGGTCGGCACCTCCATCGGCGGAGGTGGAGGTGGAGGCGGCGGCGGAGGAGGTGGTGGTGGACTGGCCAACACAGGAGGCAATACTACAGGAACTGATGGAGGAACTGCCACACTTTGAACTGGTGGCGGTGCGTCCGGTATGTCTGGAACCGGAACTGGGACCGGTACTGGCGTCGGTTCCCCCACGTCCGGTAGCTGCTCTAGATCCAGGTCCGTAAGATCGGGAACTACGATGTTGGTGTCGGGCGAAGTGACGGCGGACGGCGCTATCGAACCATCATTGGTGAAGGAGAATTGAACGTCCCCGGCCACACCCGGCAAGTGGGGGAGGTCGAGAGGCATATCCAACTCCGGAACCTGAAGAAAAGATACTATGTAGATTCACGAATGTACCAGAATCAATAAAATCGTAAAACAAAACAATTTACTACAAAATATACTACTTTTATCAAATTTTTCTATTTAGAATCATGCTACAATTACGTTTTTCAGAAAAACTGGTTCTTTATAATGTTTTTTTTTACATTACTACTTTAATATTCACACTAATTTTTTATCCCACATGTCATATTTTTAAACCCACGACCGACCGTAATTTATGATCATTAAAAAGGCCGATTAACCTTTATTAAGCTCTTCAAATTCGGAGAGTTTAAAATTTAAGCAATGAAATACTCTTATTAAAATATGAGGATAAATAACATCAACTTGAGAAATACCTCTCGACTCACTTTCTGATTATTAATAATAGTTTGACGATATTAAAATACCAGCGATATAGTGAATGAAATATTCTGTTCTTTGTATAAATAAATCTTATTACGGTCCAAAGCCTGAATATTTTTAAACATAAACAAAATGTACATTTTACGATAAATCTATCCATCTAAAGTTTTGCATGTAATATGTATATTTTTCTAACTACCCAAATTGCTTATCATTTCTTTTTGTTTATTTGTAAGGTATATGATATTGTAAAAAAATAAAAATATAAATTTATGGTACGGAAGAACGGAGCATTCTGTCACAGGTATTATATACTTAAAAGGATGCTCCAATAACTAATGTATATTTTTATGTGTACTTTGGTTTAAATAAATTATTATTATTAAATATATTTGTAAGATAACTTACCATTCCCATTCCCGGCGCATACATATACTCATCGGCTTCCCGTTTGAGTACGTTCCTCTTGACAATCGATGGCGGTGCTTCTTCCAGTGACACTTTATTTTCATCATTGGTTATGATCGTAGGTACGTAAGCCAGCACTTTGCTGCTACTCCGTATGTATGGACTCTCATCCGTTTTGAAGATCAGTAGGTCCCCTACTGTCGTAACGTTATTTATCACAGAATCCAAATCTTTATCGGGTTTCGTATTCAAGTCTTTACAATCTGCTACTTTTACGTGATAGAAATGCAATTTTTCCTATAATAAATAGTATATATGAGTAAATAGGTAAATACTGATGTTTATTTAATTGAATAATTCAATAATAATACCTGTATCTTTTTATCGTTGGACTGCTTCTGAGTTACACCACTCAGAGTAATCTTTTGAGGTTGATATTGGTAACAATCTAGGTCGAATACGGATTTATAATGGTTGTGAGTTATAGATGTTGGATACTTAGCACTCGAGAAAACTTTAATCGCTTTCTGCATGCCCGTAAGTTTTGCAACTTTAGCTTTTGATATTTCAATCCTTTGTTTCAATTTATGTGTTTTATCCATGTTCTGATTAATCCTGAGAGACACGCGAGCGAACACGTCTTCCACTATCCCATTGAGATTATCGAGAGTTTCGGCTATTTGCAGAATACTCTCCTCCATACTTAGATCGTTTGGTATCAAATTGATTTTGTAGATACCATCCATTATTGACTATTGTGATCGTAGAAATTCTGTAACAAACATTTAGGTCGTTACACTTCTACTACACAACTTATCCAATAATTAAAACGCCTTTTCGCTTAAAGGTTTATATTATAATGAATCGGACAAGAGCAAAAAAGAAAAATTATTTTGTTATTGAGCAATAAAACACGTGTTATGTTGCAAAATATAGAATATGAAAAGTTGGAATCTTACCCACGACTTCTTTTAAATGTCCTAAAATAAATTAATAAGGCACAAGAATTATCACTAGACGACACATCTGATTTCTTGTGTTAAATTATGTATGTCCGATAATTATTTATAGCACTCAATAAAGTTAAACTAGTTTAGTTCAATATTTACAATTCAGTCACTAAGGAGTCTATCAGTACTGTGTCACTATTCTAGTCGTTTTTTGACTCAATTTTTATTAGTGTTTATTGTCCGCGAATCCGCGAGTAAGGAGTGAAGATTATCGTTGGCAGGATCGGTGCTCCAGGAGAAGCGGCAATAAGCGTCGGGGGACATCGTGGGGTCCAGCACGGCAGACTCCTCAGCGAGCTGTCCCGCGTACAGCATGTTGTTTAGGTGCTTGTTGATAACCACGTCTTCTGGACTCACGTAGCCGTTAGAAGCGGACGGTTTCAATGGCACAGTGTTACGTACGCTCGACTTAAGACTAGGAATGGCATCCAACGACTGTAACTGAATGTAGCTACTGTCCGCACTGGGTGTTACAGAGGTTGGCAAGGTGGGCATCGAAGGCAAGCTTTCCGGACCCAACAATTTTGACGGCAACGTCACCAGTTTTGGAAACGTCAATACGGACTTGGGTTGTGTTTCTTCGGGTCGCACATAGCCGGAGGAGGGAGGCAGTTGACTCGGCGCACACGGTGCTGAAGTTTCAGAATTAAATACGGGTGGAGACAGTCCCGCCATCACGTAACTAGAACTGGCAGGCTGTGTGGAAGGGATTTGCGAAATACTCAAATGAGGAGCGGGCGCAGATTGTACATAGCCAGTTGTTGGTTTCACAACCGGTTGCACGTAGCCGCTGGTTGGATTTTTCTTAAAGCTGTTATCAACATAGTATGACGGATTTTCTCTGAAGCTCTCTATGTCAGTTGAAGAGTCCATTTCTTGATTTTGATTAGTTTCGTCGTCTTTTATTGGTTCCCCTTCCAATTGCAGTGATGAATTAGAACCATCGTCTGAAGTGGAAACTTGCCTATCCACTGGCTCTCGAGACGAGTCAGATAATGCGGTACTATCGGTGTGATCACTAGCAGCACAGTTGTCATTGGTTTTCTGTTTGGTATCTGTAGAGGACACTGTAGTTTTATCAGGAAGCAGTAATGCTTCATCAGATGATGGCTTATCATCTTTATTAGATGGATTCCAACTTCCAAAAGTATACTTAGAATCTTTTTCTGGTGTTCCTAAACCAATGGGCAGAACAGGTTTAATATCCTCCATTTTTTTATACCTTTTGTACAATTTTATTGTTCCATATACAAGACCAATTATTGCAAAAACAATCATTAATATAAATGTTACTGCTAATCCATCTCTACTTCTGCAAGCCACTGTACTTGGTTCACTCCATTCCCCATAATAAACATTGCTAACATTAGATCGGGTTAGATTTACATTTTCTTTATCTGCAAGTGCTCCATGGTCGGGATCTTCATCACAGTTGACTGCCCTGACTTGATATGTTTCACTCATTATTCCTCCTTCACAGTGTGTCACAGAAAGTGTCAAATCTGTAGAATTCATTATTTCCGGTTCCATATCATCTTTAATCCTTCTTACTTGATAAAAATCTACAGTTCCACCTGGTATTTCTGGTTTATCCCATTTCAGAAGATCTGGGTTATTTCTTATTGTTGGAGCCTTAAGTCTGCTAGGTGCACCTATTCTTGTTCTCACAAAAATACCTTCATTTGGTCCAACTTGGGAACATAAGCCTATAGGAATGTTACAAGCTTGAATGGTCCAAGAATAATTGGTGAAGCCCTGAAGTCCAGTGAGTGTTACATAGCTTCTCGAAGTGTCAGTTCCAGAGACATTATGAACATAGAATTCTTGTCCAAAATTATATATCACATATTTACCAATAATACCATTCCTGTGCAATGGAGGATCCCATGATATATTTAAGGAATTACTTTTTACATCAGTTATTGTAATGTTTCTTGGTTTTGTTGGTGTATCTTCTGAAGTTGTAATAACAGCTGTGGCATTTTCAATAGTCTTTAAGCCGTATGTTGTATTCAATGCTATGGTGAATTGATAAGTTCTAAATGGAAGTAAATCTGTGATATTAACTTCCATTTTAGCTGAATCAGAGATGAAAATCGACTGATTTCCAATAGTTGCATCACATAAACTGCTTGTCTGTATTACAGGGCAGTAAGTTATATTATAACCAGTAATAATTCCATCCTGTAATGCACAATCCATGGACCATCTTAATTTGACAAATGATTTTCCAGGAGCATCATACTTCAAATGTACATTAAATCCATACATTGCCATCCCAACTTTGGATATCTCGCATTTAGCCCAGGTCATACCACTAGTTTTGCTACCCTTGTTAGCAGAAATTGCAAACTGGTACCTGTAGTCTCCCGGCAGATGTATCACATGATTATTTTTATAAGATTCTAAAATAGTGAAATTTAAACGACCAGCACATATTTTAGTAGCATTATGTTGACACCAAAATAATGTGTAGTTATCTATACTATCTATCCCGACCCAAGATAACTCATAGGTTCCATTTTCATAGGCAAGTTTAGTGAATGAGGTGACATCTAGATTACGAGTGTCCCATACAGAAGGTATATACATGTGACTATTATTTACTGATTGTCCTTTCATATTGTAAGACCACACCGATACTTGCATTGCTTCTAAAGGTGCATCATCCAGATAGACATAACTTAAACTTTTGTTCTTATCAGCCAAGAGGGTCTCTGATTTATTGCCTTGGGAAACAACCACTTTGTATGTAAAATTTGCACCAGCTTCTTCATACTCCTCTAATTGTTTCCAATAGACATATATTATTCTGTTTTTACTATATGTTGCTTGGTCAAAACCTCCTGCTATCATTTCTGGTGGCCGGCCAGGTCTCTCACTGTCCGTGTAAAATGATATGTAATTGTACTCTGACCAAAACTCATCTCTAACTGCTTTTTTTGATTTGATGTAGATTCTAACCTCATACTGCATATGTGCATATGGCAAGTTGTTTAATTGAAACCTATAAGTTTTATTGTTTGGTGGCAAAAATGAAGCATCAACACTATGGAAATAAGCAGTATTATCAATTTTAGCGATTTGATATTCAATTTTATGATCCACACCACAAGGCAGCAAATCCTTCACATTGTTAGGTACGACCCATTGCAATACAACACTATGTGTCCCATTATACAACACTTTTAATTTTGATGGAGGATCTGGTTTGACAATTGAAAAATGGTCAACTGTGATATTCTGTTCAATGCAGCCAAATCCATTACATGATTGCAGATTGAAATAGAACTCTTCTTCTAGCTGTCTGTAACGAGGCTTACTGCTTGTGTTCCAAGTACAATACCGAGTTTTGTCAAATTTTTCAACAGTGCATGGTCTTACTGGATTTCCATTTATTATGAATGTCAAGGAGTAATTAATCTTACTAAATGTATGACCTTCATGCCATGAGCAGTTCAAAATATCTAAGTTTTTAGACAAGCAGCTAAAAGTAGTTATGTTTTCTGGAGGCGAGTCAACCAACACTCGATTGACACATTTCTTATTTGTCTTCTTATTCTTACAATAGTAAGCGATAACTTGTTTGGCTGGCTTTTCATAGTACAATCGCCTTGTTGTTTCGTTGACTATATCCGATTCAACTTGTTTCCCATCTACAGTAAACTCGAGATCGTCGGCTAAATAATTTTCCCCTACACAAAATATCTCTAATGGGTCGCCGTAACGGACAGTGATGTCACCTTGCGGGTACACAGCAACAGTGATGTCTACTCCAAGACATTTCGAAAATATGCAGGGTAAACTGATAAAGCACTTCAATAAAATGCACCAAATCCATGATCGAAATAGTCCTTTCCTTGTACTGCACTTTGTTTTTGCACAACGGGAATCTGATGAATTATTTTCCATTACTGAAATTGTCCTAAATAACTCTCGTCACCCACATTACGGTTTGGTTTATTGACCGTCGTTTCAAGCTAACAACGAGAAACGATAAACACATTCCTTGTGTTTTTATCGCGAGCTAAATGGCGCACTGTAGTTCCGACACGATGACACAAGGCGGACTGAACTCAACAACTCCACATCACTTATTTATCCATCACCACTGTTACCGTTGAAGTGAAACATGTTTATAGATCACTTTAGATTGCGCGACAGGAGTCCAGATGTACCTATGAAAATTTAATACGCCTTTAATAGCGTAAGTACTTACATGAAATAGAAAGAAAAACTTTGGAATAGTATTTCTGAGTAGCACGAACTTCACTTCGTTGATCCGTCGAAAACAAATCAATGAATTAAAAAAATGTTACCTCACGTCAAAACACAGTTGTTATATGTCATTTTAACCTTTTCTACAAATATTGATTTTAAAAAGGTGGAAAATTTTATAACTTAATCGACTTTAAGTTCATTATTACTTTAACCACCTTTTAGCACTACAGTTGCTATTTTTATCAAAATAAACGCCAAACAACATCCAGACACTTTATTTTTATGCTAACTGTCAATGTCAAAGTCTTCACTTATAATGTTGATGTTATTAAAGATTTATGTAATTATTAAATGAAAAAGCTTTAAATCTCGTTTAAATAACTATGTAATTAGTATGTAATATAATGGACGATGATAATAAACAACACATATTGGGATTTTCAACAAAAGAAGCTCTAATTAGGTTACGGAATGATATAGAAAGTGTGATAAATGAACATAAACAGAATACTCTTAAAGGGTATGTTGGCTATGGGCTATTTATGTATTCATCTCGTATATTTAAATATAATTCTTAATGACGACTAATCTGTTTTGAATTATTTAATTTTCAGATTCGACTTTATTCGTAATATCATATCATTTTCTTCTGACAAAGTTCTCTTGTCCGGTGTTGCATATACTATTATCTCAGTGTACATAATATGCTTAATTTTGACATATTTAGTGGGAGAAAGTTTATTGGCACAGTCTTATTTACTGTGGGAAGCTTTGTTTCTTTTTATTATACTAGTTTTAAATTTCCTTGTTGCATTTAATGAAGAATATATATACAGAAATGAAATTACATTACGGGCACGCAAAGTATTAAGTAAGTATTAATAACTGAAATGTATGTTTGATACTTTCAATGTATAAAATGTATACTTTGCTTTATTCAGAATCATTAAATGAATCAATACAACAGGCAGTGTGGAAAGAGAATCACTATCCACATTTGTGTGCTCCATTTTCTCCATGTGTTATCTTGCAATGGACTTACAGAGATGGTATGTAAAGACTTTAGGTGTGATCTTTTCAGAATAAAAAAAACACAATTAGTGCCTATAGCCTATGTGTTCTTCCAGGCTATGTTCTACATCTGTGCCAAATTTCAGCTAGATACTTTAAGCCCTTCCGTTATATTTTCCAACAAACATCCATCCATCCATCTGAACATTTGCATTTATTATATAAGTAATATTTTACAAATGTGTGTCAATCATTATGTGTTGACATCATCTGCTAATATTAATATGTCAAAGCATACTGGAATCTATGTCTAGTTTGACATTTCCTTTGGATTGTCTTTGACTATGATATTAGTGAAATCATTGAAAAATATTGTGGTTCACTATTAATTGAAAGAATAAATATATATAACTTCATGTTTAAATATTTCTGTGTCATCATTACAGGAACAATAGTAAATTTACCATGGTCACTCCTTGTGGAGGGAGATATAATTGTCCTAAGACCTGGCCAGGAGGTACCAGGCCATTGCAAAGGCCTACAAGAAGAAGATCCTGAACTTTTCTTTGGACAGATCTTTCAACCTGGCTCTCAGGTAAGAATTAGATTTTTCTAAATGCTTAACCACTAATGCTTTTTCAGCCCTGGAATTAAATATCAAATTTTTAACCCTGATATTATTTGAGGAAGGTGCCATGATGTATCAAATGCTTGTTTATTCCAGAGTAAAGATAATTTTAGTACACCAAGAATACGTACACCACATCAAAATAAAGCTTACAAAATGCTAGAAACTCCATATTTAAAGAATTTAAAACTGGCTTTAGATCAGGCCACAAGTAGACCAGTTACAGTATTTGAGAAGCAAAGATATTTGGTGAGTTGTATACATTTAGTTTATAGAAAATATGATAATAAAAATAATACAATTTTGTAAGCAATAACTTTAATTTACTTTTCAGTGCACAGTAAAAATAATGGAAGGCATAGTGTTGCCACTTGTAATATCAATTATGGTGGTGGCAAGTTTCTTTCGACACATGTACCATTTGCCCGGCATCACGCATTGGACCGAGATCTATTTTTTGCAAACAATTGCCGCATCATTACCACTTCTACAGATTATATTCCCAATTGCATGGGTCACTCTTAATTGTTATGGTTTAGCAAGGTAAAGAGATTTTAATACATTATTTGTTTTTGATGTGCATTCGATGACATGCTAGTTTCTTAGTGGTTTTTTTTACAGTTTTGGTGACAATAATTTTACTGTTATATAGGAATAATTGGTTGTTACTAAAAACTTATTTTTGTTATGTGAAATTCTTTTTAAGAAAATATATACATGACAACTTTTAAAATATAATATATGTGTGCGTACAATGTAGTTGGTAAAAAATAACATTTTTAGTAACTGTACTGTTAGGAAGAAAATCCACACTGTGCCGGTGTACTGGCACAACACTAGCCTTACTAAAATGTCGACGTTTATGGCCCCTCACTAATCATTCTGACACTTCACTTTGTAACGAAAGCACGTCATTCGCGCTAAAGGATTCTAATTAATTATGTCTATAAGTATATATGTTTTAAAATTAAAATTAATTGCAACCATATATTTCAGTCTAGGAATTATTTTCTATCAAGACTTATTTTATTCATATTTAAAAACAAAACAAAACGAAATGAGTAAAAACTCATAGAGGATTAAACATTCCACTCAACTTCATAAGTCAGATGACAAATTCAAAAGGATACAAGTAAAAAAATATTTTTTTAGGTTTAAATTATTATCAGAGACCCGACAAAAGTATGTTAGACCGAAGTCCTGTTCAATATCCGAAGACGCTACCGATCCCCTCATACAGGCGCTAAGTGAATCTAACCTGAAACCGGACAGTCTACGTTCTTTAGGGAAGACATTCTTTAATATTTTACTCGGCAGAGAAGATATGGTTGCAAGAACAGCTAATATTGTTCATGTGCTTGGATCTTTATCGGTATGAAGATATTGTAAATTAATAAACACTAAATAATATAATATACCAGAGAATTTTAGAGAAAAAAAGACTTTGTTGCAAATTTAATATAGCTGAAGAATTTGTCATAACACTGTTCTCTAATGCAATTATTGTTTTTTATTATTTTAATACTTAAAATTCTTTAGCAAATTAAAAAGATAGTTACAAAAACAGATTTCGATTTATTAAGTTAAGGAAAAAAAATTACAGGCTTTATGTTGTATAGACAAAAAAGGAATCTTATCATGGCCGAATCCGACAGCCGAAAAGGTATTTTTCCTTCGCAATTCCAGTCCCATGTCTCAAAACTCTAGCAAAACAAGTCTCGTGGGCTCAATGGAGCATCAGAGTGAAAACACAACGGACATGGGTGACAATAAACAGAATCCTGACGCTTCTACTATTGTAGAGGTTAGTATAACTTTTTTCTTATAAAGTCACCAAAATAAAAAAATACAGCTTAGTAATCAAAAACAAAATAACATATACAAAAGATATCAATTAAAAAGGGGAAAATAGATTATTTCATATGAAAAATACAAATAAACATCATAAACTCTTACTGCGCTACTCAGAGTAGTTTAAATGCAGATTTTGCGTTATGTTATGTAAAATATTAAACTTTAATATGTGTTAAAAGTATAATTTTTAACATTTTAATATTTGAAATTTCAAGTAAAGATCACAAACGATTATTTTTGCATACTCAAATAAAATATTGAAAGTAATGTCAGAGTTATTATTGTAGCAATCCAATGAATGAATTTGGCAACTTTTTAGGTGTTAGATTTAACGCACGATCAAAACGCGCCATTCCGAGTCGAGTTTGACGAGCAAAGATGGCGGACGCACATAGCGCGGCTCAAGCCGCTCGGATTGGCCGCTTTGCTCAACACGTGCGCGCCCGCACCACGGCACACGTATGCACACTTCTGCGCACATCTTACCTGCGAAGCTCAATATAGGTAAATTACTGACATAATTAAGTGATTAAATTGTCGTAAAGTGATACATATTTTTATAAAAATTCAGCTGTTTCTGTCAACACATCGTATCCGATATTATAAATGCGAATGTTTGGATGTATGGATGTTTGATGATCGGATGATCTTGCTGAAATTAAGCATAGATATAAAACATAGCTGCGAAGAATACATAGGCTATTAATTAAGTTTTCTTTTTATTTTTCCGCGGAAGGACAGCTAGTTCATTTGTCTAGTATTGTTATGCTTAAGAAAGTTTAGTAAATTAAGTATTTTGTTGATGAACTTTCAGCGAAGATCTGGTGCCGGTGACGAACCGCCGTTGCCTTTGCGAGCTTGCTAAGCAAATAGGTTTCACCGACTCTGTGGCTGAATCTTACCATATCCAGGACTGCCTTGCCGTCTTCAGACATTTGGTAAGTGCATATCCTGCTCGAAGGATCAATAAATTTACGATGTGTATAATTTGTTTGTAAATTATTGTTTTTTTTTTTAATTTAGCAAGCTGATACAATCAGACGAGAGACTCGCTTTGTGCGTTCTTTGCACCTGAGTACGCGAGTGAAGGTACCATTGCCGCACATGTTGGCTGTCATTGTTAAAGATCAGGCCAATCAATTGCAAATGCTGACACAGGTACGAATATGGTTTGTCGTAAAGATATTTTTGCATAAATTGTTTATTCGCTTTTAGATAAATTACGTCATTTTTGTAATTTTTTTTGTTTTCAGGGCACAGCAGATATAATACTTGACTCGTGCGTTGACTACTGGAACGGTCGGGACCTCACTCCGATATCGCCGTCAGATCGCAAGAAGATTATTGACTTCTATCAGAGGAATTCACTCACAGCTTACTGCACAGCGTTCGCTTACAAGTCAGTAACGCGACATCGTACCGTCCTTTTCGTACATATAGTTTTCCCGTTATTGCTTTCTCTGTCTACATATTTTGACTTTATAGGCCGTTGACGCGCGGTATCGCTCCGTCCTTGTCTCGCATGTACCTCGAGCTGCCGGCGGACAGTCGGAGGCTGTACGCGCCTCATTCGCAGCAGTGGGCGGACGCACCCGCGTTACATTTCCACTCCACAGGTCGGTTCTCATCACCTCTCTACTTCCATCCACACATTCGCATTTATAATATTAGTAAGATTGTTTGTTTTTTAGATTCGTTATTATTTAATGAAATAACCGATGACGACGTCAACGATGCTGACGGATTTTTTGACATGCAATGCAATCAGGTACGTTTTTGTGATTTTTAAATTGAAAACATATTGTATACGCATACAATAAAACGGTCTTTTTAATTTCAAAAATGAAACTCTACTGTTTAACTATAGCCTCTCATTGCATTTGAAAGTAATAGAGACAAAAATTATGTTTTAAAATGGTAATTAGGACCAAATGTAATATTGCAGGTGTTCATAGGCATGGTGACAATGCAGTACCAGGCGCAGAGCGATATGGTGGAGTTGATCGAGCGTCTGGAGCGCGCGTGCATCCGCTTTGTGCACTTTAGCAAGGAGAACGAGTTGCGGTCTCGCGTCTTCAGCGAGAAGATGGGCCTCGAGTCCGGCTGGAACTGCCACATCTCACTTATAAGCGACGACCCCGCGAGGTAAGCGAAGTTAGATTAAAAAAAATGACTTTTCAGCCAGGTATGAAGTAAGCAAAGAGGTTAAATTAATAATGATAAACTTTTCGACCAGCTACGAAGTAAGAAGGTTTTAAATAAATGTTAATGTTATTTGAAGTAAAAGCTTGTACAGGATTAAATAAAGGGTTTTTTACAGTTCCAATTTATTAAATAATCTATTAATGGAATAAGGGACTATGCATCAGAATATGTGTCGAATAATGTTCAGTTTGAACACCTATGAATTTAATATAGATAATGGTTTTAGTTTTTTAGTATTGTGTTACTTTTATAAATGTGATTCAGTCGGTTTGTTTATAATTGTGAGCTGTGTGATTTTGTCTTTAAAATTCGTCCTAATAATATTGACTAATGATAACATTTTTTTTTACATTTATTTGACAGTTGATGAGATGCGCTTTAAATTGTAACGTTAAATAATAAAGCTGTGTCGAAATATAAGGTAATTGTGGGTTATGGTTTTGATATGTTCTATATCCATCGCATATTAAATGCTTGTAAAATTTCATATTGGGAAATGGATTTTAACAAAACACTTTGGATTATTTGTATCAAACTACACTTTTCACATACGCAGTTAAAACACGCAACATTTTTAACCTATTCACTTTAATTGTCCCGTTTATTTTGTTGGTGTTGCCATTTTCTAGATGTTTTCATTCCATTGTTAATTCTTAAACTATGTGTTCTATGTTGTGTGCTTTTATACTATGCCTATTATAAAAATAGTGACCTTCGACAAAATTGCGACAAGATTTTAAAAAGATAAAACATAAATTAACTGTATCTTCAAAACTTTCGCTTTACGCATCTTGTATATTATGTTAAAACCATCATTAAAATTGTTTCATTATACAATTTGCTTTCACGAAGCTGTGTCTCATTGCGGGGGTTTGTCTATGACACTGTCAAATTGTGTAACCTTTGACACTGACAGTTGGTGTAGAGTTGCCATTTTAGAAAATAATTAAAGCACGAATGGCGCGCACTTATTGTATGTTGTCGACAGCAAGGGAGCGTCGCCGCTGTCGTCGCAAACCTTGCCGGCGGGCAAGGAGCGCGCCAACACTGGCTCGCAACTCGCTAGGGCCATCAACACTTGCGATGCCGCGCTCGGCTTCTATAGGTTTGTCTTTAACGCTCTGTCGCGCCGTCTGACGTCACGCCTCCTATACTCTTGTTATGAATACGATTGGTTATAACGTTTGCTGTAATTTTTTTTTAGTTGATTTGCAATTTAAATTAGAGAGGTAACGTTACCCAATATAATTTAAATTGTGTCTCGTCATCAACCATAAAGAAGCCTTAATTTTTTTAATAGTTGACAATTATGTACTCTGTGGATTAAATAATATTTAAAATTTATGGGATATAGAGGTGTGACGTAGGACTTATTTACTTTAAAATTATTAAGGATTCTATAAGTTTTGCTCATTATGGCTACAATTTCTGACAAAACTTTGTAATTAATGGCCAAAATATAACAAACTCTCTCATTTCACATACAAAGAAGGTTTTCAGTTGTAGATTTATCTTTCTATTAGCCTTTTCTTTTCAGCCAGTAATACCCCTATAATTTACTTTTTTATGCACCACACTGAGCAGTACACAGCTATATTTAAAACACAATAAAAAATTACACAATAATTCATCGAATGCACTCGTTAATTTTTGTATTTTATTTGCCTGATTTTAATTTGCACGATTTTTAACATTCAAGTAGCTAACACATGCATTTTTGCTAAAAAAAAATCATATCTAGCGATTGTTGATATGCAATGTGCATATCGTATCTGTATCGAATATTGCTCTCAAATATTTTATTTAAAGTGTATAGAAATAGTTTGTTAATAATTCATTGAAAAACTGTATTTATATATCTATTTATCGCTAGATAGGAACATACTGTATCTAACTGAACATGTCACTAACACTTAATCGTTTACAATTCAGGGGTAGTAGGTTTTTTAGACTACTTAAAGGTTTAGTACTTTATACTAGAGAATTCTTTCAACAGCAACAACATGAATACATCCAAGGCGCTGTCGATGTCCGCCCCGGGGGCTATAAATGTAGAACACACAACTGTCAAATTTGACAACGAGATCAAAAAGGCCCGGCACTCGATAACCACGCATAGCGGCTTCAAGGTTAGTTTCTTATGACGTCATACAACAAAACATCCCACTTTAATATCGACAACTGGATGAGTTTCCCAGATGGATGTACGTTGTGGGAACCTCAACCATTTACCTGTTTAAAACTGTACAATCGTTGTCGCAATCTAGAGGGCGCTTTTATCTGTAGAAAACGCTATATTCAAGATGGCACTGTTATTTAGACTAAGCTTTTCCGCCTCCTATAAAAATGCTTAACAATTCCTCAAGCCTATAACCTCACCTCACCTATAACTATCCGACAATAATTTTAACACGATCAATGCCACCGACTCGTCCTATGAGCCTACTTTAATATGTGAAAATCGTGGTAGCATTGAACGTGTTAAGACATTTGTTCGTTTGTTAACTTAGCGTGGAAGTGTGTCAGCGTCCCAGCAGTCGACGGACTCGCTGCTGGGCGCCGAGGGTGAGGGCGCGGAGTCGCCGCTGGACGCCTGCCGCTCGCTCTCCTGCCTCACAGACTCCACAGACCACTCCGCACCTGTCAACTTTGATATGAGCAACCGCGTGAGTTTGTTACCTAGCATATACTACAAACACTCACAAAAATATTATTGATTTGTTCAATACAAGCATTTTTAAGACTAAATTTCCACATCTCAACTGGTAAAACCTATACAAACGATTTCACATTTTAAACATATGTTATGACTATGTGTTTATATTAATATGACAGTTATATTTTGATTCCTGTCAAACTGTAACTATCAGGTTCCACTGCCAGAAGTGAATGTAATGGATTAAATGTAATTCAATAGTTCTAATCAACTCGCAATATTATCATCAGGCAAAGTTGCCGCGCGGCATAGAGAACATTCGTCCGCACATCGAGCAGGTGGACAACGTACCGCTGCTCGTCTCGCTCTTCACCGACTGCACCTCCAGCTCCGTGCGGCAGATGATACAGATCATGCAGGTGTGAATTACAGCGACATCTATCAACACACCTCTCAGAAATGTCTGTCAAATGTAACACAACTATCTTACACACCTGTCAAATGTAACACAACTATCATATATGCCTGTCAAATGAGACACACTTGTCATACATACCTGTCAAATGTAACAGTATTTGACAATTTGTCTTTAGGACTATGGTGAGGTAGTATGCGTGATGGGTTCTGCCGCCAACTGCCTCAATATGGAGATATTCATGCAAGCTGATGCCAGGTATGTATAGAATACTTACAACATATAATAACAGTGGGTTTTGTCAGCAGTATCACTAGTATCGACACATATTGTCATCCTTACCGTTCTCTTTGAACAGAGACAACAATATCTGTCAAAGTAAGTACATCTTACTTCTTGCCAATATTATAAATGCGGACGTTTAGATGGATGTATGGATGGATGTTTGTTTGAAGGTATCTCCAGAACGGTTGCATAGATCTCGATGAAATTTGGCATACATATACAACACTGTCTGGAAGAACAACTAGGCTACTAATTACGTTTTTTATTATACCGCGCGGACGGAGTCGCGGATGACAACTAGTTGATACATAGTACAGTTCCGAATATATATGTGTCCAGCATAGCCGTAGAGCCTCTGTACCCGGTGCTGTGTCAGAAGATGCCAGCGTACCAGCTGCCGACAACATGTGTCGGCCCCATACAGCTCGCACGCGCTCTCAACTCTGTGCCCTGCTCGCTATCGGTAACATTCACTTTCCACTGACAAACACATCAAACATATTGCCATCTCTCACATTCTCTTTGAAAAAGTAGAGACAACTATATTAAGATAACGACGATATTATACTTGTACCAATTTTCAAATATTCATCCATTTTGAGGTTATGGTTGTTTAAAGTTCATGGAATTTAGACTCTTTGGTCGTTATAAAGACGTGCAATTAATTTTTCACGCTGCACTTTTGAAGCTTTTAAATAAATGGCAAAACCAACCGTTAACTAACTACTACAATACTAAGGTTTGTAAGTAAATGTTGTTACTGTATATTTGTTTATACTAGTAAGTAGTATTCCAATATGGCACGTTAAAAATAAAGCCAAAAAACTTTTTGGTTTGTAATCTTTCTAATAGTACAAGAATTAAAATTAAAATAAAGTCTACTTGCACTTGTAAACAAAACAGATATGTTCTACTTTCTAGTCTTGAAATCCTCGATGAGATATAATGATTGCTTAGGTAACTCCTTAGTATGGATATCCAACATTAAATTGACAGTTCAGAGTAGCCTTTTAGCGATTGAGTGTGTGACGTCACAATATTGTGCGCGTGCGCAGATGACGCGCGACGCGGACGTGTCTCTGTTCGCGCTGATCACGATGTCGCGCCACTTCATGACCTGCCTGTGGAACTCCACGCAGTTCTGGATGTGCAGCGCGTGCTTCATATCACTGCTGCAGGTCAGTACGACTTCAGACAGCTACTTTAACAGTGGGTAACCACTGTGAAAACACTCATAACGTATATGTTTTTGCATGGAAACGAACGGTAAACAAAAAACTACTTCTAGATATTAATTAGATTCATTTAGAGCGAATGGACGAGAGGGAGTGGACGGGGATTAGGTCAGCAGAGGAACTGTTTCGCCTGTTGCGCTTGACAGAACCAATTATTCCAAGTTAGCGGCCAACCTTCAAGACTGAAGAGGCACAAGAATAAGAAGAGCGAATGGCGTGCATTCGTTCCCAAGTCACGTGTCAGATTGATTAGTGAGGGGACATAAACATTGAGATTTTAATAAGGCTAGTGTTGTGCCGGATTTCTTCCTAACACTGCATATTTAAGATCTTTTATGTATACCACATTGCAAATTCTTTGTTCTATATAACTGTATATAAAATTAACAACGTTATGTACATATAAATTGCTTGTTAATTAGGTGGGTTCGTTCTGTTGCCTGTTGCCGCTCGCACTGAGCACGGGGGGAGCGGCGTTCGCGTCGGGTGCGGTGGCGCTGGTGTCCGCCGCGCTCGCCTTCCAGCCTGTACGTGCCGCCGTGATGCAGCGCGCAGCCACGCGACCGCACGCTGACCTCAGCCCTAAGGTTAACAACACTAATGTGCACAAGTATAGCTTGATTTTACTTATAACAAAATTATAGGGTCATCTTTTATTTTAGACTAGCTTTTGCCTGTGACTCTGTCCGCGTGGAATAAAAAAAACATAATTAGTAGCCTATGTCTTTTTCCAGATTATGTTTTAAATGTATGCCAAATTTCATCGCGATCCTTTTGCTAACGACGCCCCATTTAAGAGACTTGAGCGTTCCCGATGGTCCTTCGAGCAGGATTATAGACTTGATACAATTTCCGAAAATTTCCTCAGCGGTATTTCCAAAACCACTACGATTTAGGGTCCTTCAAGAAGTAAACGTATCACTATCTCAAAGGCCGGCAACGCATCTGTGGTTCCTCTGGTATTGCTGATGTCCATGGGCGTCGTTGAACACCTCGGTGTTCCCGCTACTCGTTTGCCCCCTTCTGTTATAAAAAAATCGGTTCAGCCGTTCTGGAGATACCTTCAAACATCCATCCATCCATCTAAACATTCGCATTTATAATAGTAAGGTCGCATGATTTTATATTAGAAATCTACGCTCATAGTCTCCAATCCAAGTTAATAATAACGAAAATAAAAAAAAATCTTACAGAGAACAGTTTAAAACGTTACTATTATAGAATAGTTTTGCAGTGGAGTTTATCTTAAAGTATAAATGTGCGTGTAGATGGCGGTGTTCGTGTTCTGGTGCTACGGGTGCAAGTTCCTGCCCGCCGCCCTCTCTATACTGGCGCTGTACGCGGTCACACTGCGCAGCTTCTGCCAACAGATCGCTGAGGTTTGTGCAAATATAACTTTTACTTATACTAATAGGTTTTATGTCTAACCAAATTATGTAATTTCATATAATGTCATTTTTTATTATACGATTTTAACATTAAGTCTGTGCATAAACCATTTCAAATATATATATTTTTATTATTAATAAAGGTGTTAGTGTAGCACTCATCCGCCTGGCGAGTTCATTTTCTTAAGAAAAATCAAATATAATCAAGAAAGTTTTTTTTTCATATGTTTTAATAAATGATTCCTTCTTAGGCGACGGGTGAGACATCTTGCTGGCTGGTGTACCCTGTGAACGTGGGCAATGTGAGCGAGGAGCGCGACCTCTCACGTCGCAGCTGGCACGGCTGGGGGGACGACTTCTACGACGGCTTCTACCTCGCGCAGCATCTCACACTCGCACTACTCACGCTGCATCTCAGTCAGTACAAATATGAACTACACCATCTCAATCGTATCAAGTCTATAATCCTGCTCGAAGGACCATCGGGAACACCCAAATCTTATATCTATCTATCGAAACTAGTAACCTTAACAAGAAGTTCGGCTATAATTCATTATAAAAATATATATATTTTTGATTAAAAACAGCTATACACTTCTGCACAATTATTTTATTTTGTTGCTTACGTTAAATACGTTGCTGAAATTCTTTAATAAACCTTTCTTTTTCAGACAACAGTTTACAATACGTTTCCATACAAGTGTTTTGACAATGGAAACTTCTACTTAGGTTTGAAAATAGTATAAAATGTTACCAGATTAAATATTTGTTTGCAGTTGTGATATCAATATCGTTCGTGGAGAGACAACGCTCCATCTGGCAGGGCGGCTTCTGGACTAATAAAGTGTGGATGGCTACAGTATTCTTGCTGTAAATATACTATACTTCTTTTAACTACTGTTACATCTCGATTTCGATTTTAAGACAATTATGAGTTTTGGTGCTCAAAAATTATCTTAATCTTACTTAATATTAAAATTGCGAATGTTTGTATGGATGGATGGATATTTGTTTGAAGGTATCTTGAGAACAGCTGTATGGATCTTGCCGAAATTTGGCTTAGACATAGAACATAATCTGGAAGAGCACATAAACTTTTTAATTAAGTTTTTTTTTTTTATATCATAAGGTGGCAAACGAGCGAGCGGCCACCTGAAATCGCTGAAATAGCGAAGTGACCGTTGCCCATAGAAATACGCAATTGCATATGCGTTGCCTACCTTTAATCGACGGAGGAGGGGATGCACAGAAAGAAAATAGATTTTTTAATTCCGCGCATACGGAGTCGCGAGCAATAGCTTGTGAATTATTAAAAAGATATGAAAATAATTGTGCCTGTACTACAGATTGCCATATAGTATGTCAATTTTATATTTAATTAGATTGTTTTGTAATCAGGGTGGTAGTTCAGGGGGTGTTCAGCTTTGCGTGTGTGGGCGGGTTCGGGGGCAGGGCGGTGGGCGGGGCGTGCGCACGGTGGGGGCTGTGCGAGCTGCGGTACGTGGTGCGGTGGCCGCTGGCACTCGCGTATCTCGCCTCACCACTCGTTATTCTCCTGCTCAACGAGCTCATCAAGTGGCAGGAGATCAAGTCAGTTTACGTTGATTACACTTCACTTTAGAACTGGTTAAGAAAAACGGGGGACATCACCCAATTTGCACTATGTTATCTTTCATCTAACTTCTTACTGGATGTCTGTATCTCCAGAACTGCTGCATGGATCTCGCTGAAATTTGGCATAGATGTAGAACATAGTCTGGAAGAACACATAGGCTACTTATAAAGTTTTTTTTTTTTAATTCCGTGGGGACGGAATCACGGGCGACAGCTAGTCTCATATAAAAAAAATGTTTAATAACAACTAGGTGAATGTTGTTTTTAAATATAACAAATCTCATGATTATAAATATCAAAATATTATATTTCTTTGTATAAATAAAATCATCAGCTATAAAAGTTATTATATTACTTAGTGATTTATTTATTATTATTTATTTTGTACAGAGCTGACGTGCGCAACCAGCGTCGTGCGAGATTGGACTTCGGCACAAAGTTAGGGATGAACTCACCTTTCTGAGGCATATCTAGTCAATTAATGTATTTTAAATCAATGACATATTGTATTTAATATTTCCTACGACAGACGAAGTAAACGTACTTGAGTGATATAACATTAATTATTAAGATTAAATGAAGCATATTGTACTTGATATGTACTTAACTAAATATTTTGTACTTAATTTATTTTGTGCCGTGATTTTGATATCAAACATTTACAATAAACGCCAATGATTTTAATCAGATATGTTTTTTATTGGTACTTTTTTTACATTTTTATTATTTTTTCCCTAGAAATAGTACACAACAATCTAAAAGCGCACAGTCCATGGAATAGTTGTTATCAAAAGGATGACAAAAATAATAAACAAATTATAAACAAATATTTTATTCTGACTAATAACTTGTGATGTATAATAATATAAAATATTGCTATATAGATGACAAGTGTCATCAGTTGCATAGGCCTTTTTACACTAAACGGCCTCAAGTTTGAACTATTATAAGTGATGAACAGTTTAATGTCCGTCTATCTCGGCGAAACAAAGTCAAAATGACTGTCAATTGCATATTTGTCAAAAACTACACGTAGTAGTCAATTTTTTAAGTTTGTATGCTGAAAAATATTCTTATCGGAACGCTACATCCCATGACATGACATGAACAATTTATGTGGTAAATGTTATATTTCCAAATATAATTTTACAATTTTTTTTTTATTCCTTTCATAACTCTCACACGATTTGAAAGCATGTTAAAATTGACTGGAAGTAATTCATCTTGCACAGATTACGTTACAATTTCAAAAATGTAATGTTAATAAGTTCAATATCTCATTCGCTCAGTTAATATCCTACATTATTGTTAGTTACTAAAAACTTGTACTTATAGGTAAATTAAAAATTTCTAATTAACAATCGCCACTGGGACTCGGTAAGTCAAGAATTTCTTGAACAAAGGAAGCAACATCTGTTTCTTTTTTACTATGCTCTAGACAAAATGGATGTGATAAAAGAGCATCATAATTGGGTCTTTGTTTAAAGTCCTTCTTAAGACATTTAGTGACCATGTCCTCAAATTCTGGTGAAAATGATCCACTTGGCAACTTTGGTGGGTCATCTTTGACAACTTGTTTCAACTGTTCAAAGGGTGTACACCATGTGTTATATGGATACTTTCCTGTTGCTAACTCAATCATTGATATACCAAGCGACCAAACATCACTACGAATATCATACTGTCCCGGGTTGCCACTGGGATCAATTCTTTCAGGAGCCATATATGGTTTACATCCAGCATCTATAGTCTTAGCTACAGAGTCTACAAGGTAACCTGATATACCAAAGTCGCACATCTTCACCTCTCCCTTTCTGTTTATAAGTATATTGGATGGCTTCACATCTCTGTGTATAACTCTTAGCTCCGAATACAAGTAATGCAAGGCACTTACTACAGAAAATGCAATTTTTCCAAGAATATTCTCTGGTAATGTTCTATTGTTTGCATAGGCTTTTGCATAAAACTTGTCAAGGCTCATATCCATAACCTCCATACAGATCCAAACATCCCCTTCTCTGAACATGGCTCCGTAAAAGTGTACTGTGTAAGGACATGCGCTAGCTCGCATAGACACATCTAGATCCATCAATAAGCGCTTCAACTCTTGTGACTGAGTGTTAAATGTTGCTGTAATTCTCTGGAAATTGAACAAAAAAATAATTTCTCAGATTATTTATTTATTTATTATAGTCCACAGTTACACAAAAGAGCAATAAAAACAACTATACTTTATGTAGCTGACAAGAATTACATTTTCAATTAATGGTAAATTAACACTGAATATTATTAAAAATTATACCTTAACAGCCATTATAGTGTTGCTTGGCTTATGGTGCATTTTCTCCACAATACCATATGCTCCTCGGCCAAGGTCACATATCTTCACCAAATCATCTGCATGGACAGTAAATGTCTTGTCATCAACTGTGATTGTTGTTTGCTTATCAAGATTCCTTGGAGGGGTTCTGAAAGTACATATTAGTTTTGAAACATATTGCACTAAATAAATATTAGAAGTTGCAAATGGTGTTAGGTAACAAGTGTTTTAAAATAATATTGATATATAAATAATATAACCTGTTAGAATTACTAGGTTAAACGTATAGATAATTATGAAAAAGATAATAAAATTCGATCTAATATCGATATACATACACATTGACTTGTTCTTCAGCTGGTTTAAAACTGAAGCCCGGCGGCGGCGGCTTTCTTCTACCGGACATTTTTTATGTAACTGTAGTCTACTGTTCAAATCGGCGGAGTTTACAGAACACTCAAGGAAAATTTTGAGAAGCTTGGCAAAATGGTATACGTCCTAACCACTTATATGATACTTCTACTATGTTATATTAAAATAAACACAGTTATAAAGTTAATTACATCTCTTACTTGATTTTACTGTATTATAAATTGATTGCAAATTTATAAGGTTTATCAAATAAAACAAAAATAAGAAAACCCTACAGAGTGGAGTTATAAGTATTTGACACTTCAGGCTAGTGTTGCCTGATATGTGAAGTCAAGTGATGCTGTTTTCTAAATCTTTAATATTGATTTATATATCAGTTCTTATATGGTTCTAATTTTTAAATTAAATTTCAAATGCGCTGTGCAATCAAAAATTAGCTAATTAAGGATGTAAAAGTTAAAGAAACTCTTAAGTGTGAAGGCTAAATACCTTATAGACAATTAATTGTTATAAAAAATATACTTTTCATTTTCATGTTTCAACATGTCAATATGTCAAAATTAAAACAAACAACATTAAAACTTAAATTATATTTAAACCACTTCACAATATTGTTGTTTTGATAATGACTGATATTAACAAATACCTTGAAAATCAATTAGCTCTTGCTAAACATAGAAATCATAATAAAAGCAATAAAGACGTGGTTTCAAAGAAAAGTCAAGACGCCGCGGAAAACATTTCAAAGAAACAGAACAAAAACTTTCAGAATGTTAGAAAGAATAAGATTGATTCCGAGGGAGGTGAACATTCAAAGTCTCCTACTAAGTGCGATACTGATGATTGTGATTCTGATTATATACTGTCTAGTGACGACGATTGTAAAAAAGGTCCAACTTCCCCTTTCTCTGTTCGAACCAAGAAAAACATGAAGAAAATCATAGATGATGGTAATAAACATATTTTTAATCAGCGTATCAGTAAATGGAAACAAAATGTTAAAAACGCGCTTTCAGGGACAATTGACTTAAGTACTATAGATTATTACACAGCAGATTTACAATATGTTCTAGATGGAAATACCGATATAGAAGACAGTCACGAACTACAAAATGGTCTTTACATTCCGCAATATATTTGGAAACAATTATATAAATACCAGAAGACTGGTGTTAAATGGTTGTGGGAGTTACATCAAGTTGAAGGTGGAGGTTTGTTAGGAGATGAAATGGGTCTGGGAAAAACAGTACAAATAATTGCATTTCTGGCTGGTCTCGCCAAGTATAATAGCGGTCCATGGGTTGGACTGGGACCAACAATAATTGTGGCCCCAGCAACTGTTATATACCAATGGGTATCCCATTTTCATTACTGGTGTCCTAATCTAAGGATTGCTGTATTGCATCACTCTGGCTCCCACAATGGTAATCACAATCAACTAGTGAGAGATGTTCAAGCCTCACATGGAATATTGTTAATCACCTATGAAGGTGTAGTTAAATACAGCAAATGTTTATTATCCTATAAATGGCACTATTTAATATTAGATGAAGGTCATAAAATAAGAAATCCTGAGACTCAAGTAAGTAAACTAGTGAAACAATTTGAAACTCCTCACAAGTTATTAATTACTGGATCACCAATGCAAAATAATTTGCAAGAACTTTGGTCCTTATTTGATTTCATGAGGCCTGGTCTTCTAGGAACACATAAGGCCTTTATGGAATATTTTGCTGTACCCATTACCCAAGGTGGATATGCAAATGCCACAGAGTTTCAGGAAGCAACTGCTTTGGAAATAGCTAAAGCCCTCAAAAATATGATAACGCCTTACTTATTGAGGCGGACTAAAGCAGAAGTGCAGGAATATATTAAATTACCTGAAAAAAATGAACAAGTTTTGTTCTGTGCTTTAACTCAAGAACAGAAAGACTTGTACATGGGTTATTTAACAAGTACAATGGTTAGAAGCATTCTTGATAAAGAGAGCAGAAATGGGCATCCACTTAGAGCGAGAGTACTTATTGCTTTATCTACTTTGAGAAAAATTTGTAATCATCCTGATATATATTTATATGAGGCACATGAAGATGCTGATGATATAAATGAAGAAACTTTTGGACATTGGAAGAGGTCTGGTAAAATGATTGTTGTTCAATCTCTGTTAAAAATATGGCAAAAGCAAGGTCACAGAACTTTAATATTTTCTCAATCCAGAGCAATGCTGTGCATTTTGGAACAACATTTACAAAATAATGAATATAAATATCTTAAATTGGATGGTTCAGTGAGTGTTAGCATTAGACAGAATTTAATTAAAACATTTAATGAAAACAAAGAATATCTAGTTTTTCTGGCAACAACAAGAGTAGGTGGTTTAGGTGTAAATCTTACTGGTGCTGACAGAGTGATAGTGTATGATCCTGATTGGAACCCTGCTACAGACAATCAGGCTAAAGAAAGGGCATGGAGAATTGGCCAAGAAAGAAATGTAACCGTGTATAGACTTCTTTCTGCAGGCACTATTGAGGAAAAAATTTATCAGAGGCAAATATTCAAAAATTTTTTAAGTAGCAAAGTTTTAATTGATCCAAATCAAAAGAATGTTCTAACTACCAGTACTTTACAAGGACTCTTCACCTTAGAAGAACCAAATCGTGAGGGAGACACAGAGACAGCTTCACTTTTCAAACACACTAAAGTTAAAATTGATAAGAAAACGAAAAAAGAAGAAGACAAAAAACATTTAAGTAGCAATGTACCATTTTCAAAAAAGAAATTGGAGGCTATGAAGAGACTTGCAAAACAAATCAGTAAAAAAATATCCCGTGAAAATGCTTCACTAATAACAAATGATGATCCACGAGAAAAATATAAACAGAAAAGACAATTGCTCTTAAATCCACCAAAAATTGAAAATTTGCCTGAGATTAATTTTATAGATGACAAAGTAACTAATGTTCCATTTGAAAGTGCATTATCTGAGTTAGACATTGTTAACATGCATGTAAAGGAAAATTATGAAGAGAATTTGTTGAAAGAAGTACTAAAAGACCAAGACGAAAAAACACTAGAAGAAAAACAAGCAGACAGTGTCAAAATTCCTGATACTGATATAGTTGATGATAAAGAAATTAAAGTAAAATCAACTCAAACTTCTATAGCCATTTCATTGCCAGAGTTTGATACAAATATTAAACATTTTGAAAATCAAAATACTGCACATATTAAAATACCAAATAATGATCATATGGAAAATACCAATACTGATCATATTGGGAACCCAAATATTTGTAAAAGACGCCATTCAACGTCGCCAGTTAGAGATGATGTAATTGAGAATCTAGTGGCTATTAAAAAAGTTAAAAAGAAAAAGCTAAAGCATGAAAAAGATACAAATGATGATGACTATGTTTTAAAGAAACTTTTTGCAAAGTCAACAGTTAAAAATGCTTTGCACCATGATGTGGTTATGGGGTTGTCTGAAAAAGAAAAACGTTTTAGGATTAAAGAGGAAGCTACAAAGAGAGCAAAAAAGGCTGTTAAAGCCATAAAGCAATCAGCTAAGATTAATGCGTAAATGATTAATTGTAAGTAAATGAATCAAAGATTTATATAATTTGTATTAAAGACTTAACACTACATGCTGTTTCACTTTAACAGAATAAATTCTTTAGTTGAGGAAATGGGAATTGAAACTCAAATTAGTTTTACGGATATTTTTCTGTAATTTTTTTAAAGTAAAAGTCACTTTTCTCAAAGTTTTACGTGACACGGAATACATATTCACATAACAAAC